TTGGCTTTGGTTACATGGAAACATACAGGAAGAGGAAAAACATTAGATTCAAAAAAGATCAAGAAATGCAGATTTTAATTTGTGTGCAAAACTGCAAATGCAAAACTGGAAATTCCCCGTGGAAGTAGAATTTTTTTATTTCAACTCAAGTAAACAGGTAGTGCAGAACAGTAGGCTGGGCTTCACCAGTAAACTCACTATTGGACACTGCAGACCTGCATGCAAGTCTTGTAAGTTGTATGAGCCTCAGAGACCCCACCTATGTAATAGAGGGCTTGGTCCAGACCAGCGGCTCCCAAATGGCGGCTAAGCAACACAAAAATCAGACGACCCACCACCTAAAGGTCTGGCTCAGTGGAAGAGATATGGCTGAGGACGTTTATTTCTTAAGCAACTTATCCAGTATTGATGTGGGTGACTCACAAACCACAGCTTGGGGTCCACTAGCCTGGGTGACCCTTAGTGTCCCAATCACACATGGTGTTTTACGACCTTGGGTGGTACTGTGCCTGAATTCCATGTGGTAAAGAATCTGCTTCTCTCGCATGGTATCCAGTCTTTTTGAACTGTGGGCAGTTCTAATTGTTAAGGCCAGCTAACGTCAAAAGCTAACTCAGAGAAGATGACCCAGGCTTTATTTTCTGAGGGAACCAAGAATGAAAGCTACTCTTATCCAAGTCTTTGACATATCAAAGACAGACAATATTTTCCCTTAAGTCTTCTCTGACTAAAGAGGTGGCTTTACTTATTCACCCCTGGTTTTGAAAGGTTTCTTAAGCATACTACAAGGAATACAATTACAAGGTAATAATAAACTCACTGTTTTTGTGGCATTATCATGTGCCCTTTCATCTTTTGTTCACTACCATATAAGATTTAAATAAAATAAAAAATATGTGTATTTCCCAAGTGTTAGCATGAAATTTGAATCTTTCAATACAAATTTTACCTTATTTTAATATAAAAACAAAAGTATTTTATACTTTATTGTTTTTTAATATTTTAAATGTAACATTTTCTCAAAGGACATTTGTAGCTTTAATGCAATATGCTCTCATTAAAATAATGTAGAGCTAGGGATGGGGGATGCAGCTCAGTGGTAGAATGCCTGCCTAACACATGCAAGATGCTAGGTTTAATCACTAGCACCACAAAAATTATTAATTAATTTAGAAGTTGTAAAACTAGTGACATTTATGTAATGTTAAATCTTTTCCACATAATTTATCTTTGATCCTGATATTAATACATGAAACAAGTGATTCAAACTACTAACCCCTTTTAAGACATGACAAAACTGAGGCCCATAAAGGCTATTTCTTGACCAACAGAGGAAATCAATATTTATGAAGTCTCCATTATACCTTCAAGTATAGCTTTCAACACATTTATTACATCCCCCAGACACACACACAGTTTTAGAGATAGGGTCTTGCTATGCAGTTCTCGCTGGCCTTGAACTCACTACTATGTAGACCAGGCTGGATTCCAACTTGTGGCAATCCTCCTGCCTCAGCCTCCAGAGTGCTGAGATTAGAGTAAGTGCTACAACTGGTGTTTTTTCATCCCTTTGGACAACTTCTTAGTGTCACATTTGTTTTGTGGAGTATGAAAATGAAGGGACAAGGGGCTATACAACGTTAATAAAATTAGTCAATTATAAGAGGCAAAGTCAAAATGGTACTAAGAGCTTCTTCCTCTAGATCACTGTGTTTATTCTCTTAGGATGCCTCTGAACATAGATTTCACCTTTAAGATAGTTCATGTTATTAACTAGATTAAAAATTTTCAAGACAGAAACCACATATTAACACCTAGATGACATAAAGAAACCAAACAAATGGCCAACCTTCTCCTGTGAAATTAACTATCTGAAGTGTCACTCTGGCTGTGAAGAAAAGCAGAATCGATGGCTATGGAAAATTCAAATGTTACAAAATTTGCTTTCTGTTTTTGTCTTTACTTTGCACTTGTACTTTGCAGTAGCATTTTGTTTCAATTTCATTTTATCCAAAATGGTATACCATTTGTTCTCATTCTATTTGCAAACTGAGACCACAGTACTTTCTCAGAATAGATGGAGCTGGACCAAAACAATGCTGTCTTATTTCCTCAGGAGGAACAGGACAGTGAGGAGACAAGAGCTCTCATTCTGCCTGTCATGCAGCTGAAGAGGCATCACTGAGTGCTCTGCACGCCTACACAGACAGCACCAACAGAATTATCCCTGCGCTCTACCGCAGCCAACGATCCTACTTCACCACGACATTACAAGTTATGTTTTACTGCCTACAAGTTATGCACTAGCATCACAAACTTCCAGGCAAGTGATTCATGTCTAGCTATTTTTCTGCCAGCCCTGAAAGGGCAGGAGCAGCATACAACAAAGAGGCCTTGGGCGTGTCAGAGGCAGATGTGACACTCAAAAGATTAAGGCCTGATCTACTTGTCATATTGCCCTTTTGTTGCTATAGATTTGTTTGCTTTACATTATTTATCTGAAAAAAAATATATAGTTCTATACCTGCAGACATAATTTCATGTTATTCTTGTAAACTAAGCACAAATTTCCTTCATTACACCTACTTCTCATGTGAAAAAAGTAATCAAATGCTTTGACAGGACAAAGCTGGCCTAACATTCTTTAGTTTATTGAGTCTCAGTGATTCAAAAAAATAAGGTTTTTGTTTGTTTTTGTATTTTTCATTTAACATTTCTGAATCTGGGATGCATCTGAAAATCTATGCAGCCTCGAATTTGATGAAATACAGTAAATAGTAACACTTGATCATTTAAGGAAAGCATGAGCTAGCTGAACAAGTAAACACTGTAAAATACTCTCACTATAAAATAAAGCACAAATGCCCCCCAACTGCCAATAGAGTTCCTTAAAATTGGCTAATATCCTACATGGCATAAAAAAAATATTTGGTATTCTAAAACACTGGGGAAAACAAAATAAAACAAAACAGGCCTTACCACATAAATAACCTTACTCTGAACTACCTCTTGATAAGAAATCTTTTCATACGGTAAAATAAGCACGATGGAGGCTGTCTACCACGATGATAAAACCATTACTAATAGTGTAATTTTCAATCATGTTGGTATTTTACTACCAAAAAAACCGGTACAAAATCAGTTCTACACTATTCTCAAGTGCTGTGTCGCTCACACGTCCATGCATGTACCACGTGACAATACACATCCACAGTCCCCTCTCCCTGAGCAGGGATGATGAGAATTTTTACACACTCCTTTAAGACTATACAAATGCTTCAGTTTTATTTTCATCTCTTATTGATGGACAAATTTCTTTTACAAAGATGAGACAAAATAAAAATTTCAGGATTCTGAGTTCGTACATAAAAATTAACTAAACATTGTACAAAATACCATGAATCTGAGGTAAAAGAATGAAGAGGGAGCGGAGAGCAAAGGACAGGAACAATCCTTGGGGAAAAGATAAGCCAACAAATGACTGAAAACTTACAAAACACTTTGTAATTGTAGTGATTCATGACATTTTAATAACAATCAAATATGGCTTTCTTTTCTCTAACCCAGAGGTTCTTGACCTCTCTACCACCGATATTTTGGGTTAGGCAAGTCCTTGCTGCGGGAGGCTGCTGCTTTCACTGCCTCCCCCATCAGCTGTGGCAATGTCTCACCTGGCCCCTCGGCTTCGACACCTGAAAGTGTCCTGAGACAGGCAAGAGGCCCAACCCAGTTGAGAACTAGGCTCTCAGGTTCTGGCTAGGCCTCCCATCCCAAGCTATCCTAGTGTTTTAAGATCACCTGAAAGGTAGAAATTTTAAAACCCCATTTAAAAGCAACATTGACTCAAATGAATTTTTCAGCTATAGAAGAAAAACAGAGCCATTTATTTTGTTTTTGCCTATTTAAAATGTTAGAATTTATATAAGGTAATATCTTTAAAAAATCTGAAATACCAAATAAAGTCAAATAAATATCATTTTCAACTATTATTTCCTTATGCATTTATTATATATTCAACCATTCAAGCAGCCAGAGGTAGTGAAATATATTCATTTTACATTAGGATAGTAGTTAATATCAGGTTATTTTCATTTGACATAATTTCTATTTGTTTTTTTGTAAAGAATAATTAAGTGAGTGCTTAATCTATGCCAACTATTTTGTTAAACACTGATTTATATGCACTATTTCATAGGAAGTAGAAATAAATCAATTTAATAACACTACATTAATTTATAAAATAAATAATATAGAAAGTTTTGGTGCAACCAGTCTTCCTAGTGTTGAAAGAATTTAAACACTAGAAAATATGGAATGTGAGTATACTAAGCAATATACAAACGTGACTATGATGAAAGGAAACCACATCAACTCTACTAGGGCAGTAATAAAGGGTAAGTTACTCCAGTGACTAATCAGAGGAGTTCTTAAATTAATCTTAAGTGCCTAATTTACAATCAATGCAGTTTAGAAAACGAGTATATTCCACAGTTGAGAAATGAAAACATAAATGAAAAAAGGAAGAAAGGTCTTATTTAATAAGCAGTAGAAAATGCAAATGCATACTTATACAAAGTAAGCACTGGACTTCCTTAATGATTACACTATAAAATGAGCTTCCTTAGTTTTTAATAGCAACTTTATTGAGATATAAAAGATTTAGCAGTTGGAAGTGTACACTTCAGTGGTTCCCAGCACTCTTATCACCCAAAGAGACCCTGTATTTATTTGCAGTCACTCACAATCCTCCCATCCCTCACTGCCTGGCAACCACTAAACTACTTTCTGTCTCGGCGGATTTGCCTGTTCTGGACAATTCATATCAACAAAATACACAGAATGAATATGGGCGCTCGATTCTTTCACGTAGCATAATGCTATCAAGGTTCATTTAGGGTGGAGCACGTAAGAGCACTTCATTCTTTTTTATGGCTGAATGATTCCTTCTTTTTTGTGACAATTAAGTGAAGCACTTCAAGTAGTGTGTTTACATAAGTTACCTGAAACATTTTCAGCCATTCTTGGAGGCCTGTGGGAGGCTGGACAGATGTAATCCGGCGTCGTTGTTGCCCTTGGCCATTGGCAGCTCTCAGGTCCCCAAAAGTTGTTGGTGTTGCTGAACATGGTACAAGCCCAGTGGTACTACCAAAAAAAAAAAAGGAAGAGTAGAAGCAAAGACAGATATTAAGAATTATAAATTCTGATTTAATATAATAAGAATGATGAGAATGATGATGTGGCATATTTCAAACCTCAATTCATTTATTCTTTTATTCGCTTATTCCCAGAGAGGAAGGGTACATAAAACCTACTTTGCTATTCTTAGAGTAAGCTTCCTCCCTCCTACGTAACCACCTGTTATTATCTCAGCAATGCTAAGTCCAATCAAATGACAGAATCTCTATGGCAAAACTGCAAGTCACTGATACATATAAATAATATTAAAATAATTCCTAGGGTTTAGGGTGTAGCTCTGTGGTAAATCATGTGCTCAAAACACATGAAGCAATGAATACAATCTCTATCAAAAAATAAAATATTTCCTCAGAACATGCAGGCCTCACTTCTAGGGTCTTCAATGACATAATTAAATAAAAACTTAAATTTTCTTTATAAAAAGGGATGTGAAATAAATGATTTTTAAAAACTCATCTAAAAATAGTACACTGAAATGTTTTGGATATCACTAGTCACTAATTCCTTAAATCTGCCTTAAAGAAAAATTATTTATACCTATTACTCTCCAATATTTTATTGTTATTTATAAGTCTTAGTCTTGAGTATCTGACAGGAATCAGTCTTGATTAAAAACGTAGTTATTCAAAACAGGTATCAAGAACTTACAGGCAAAATTAAATGAGATCATGTAAACATTTTCTTGATGAGAAAGTTATTCAAAATAGGTATCAAGAACTTATAGTCAAAATTAAGTAAAATGCGATCATCTAAACATTCTTATCCAATAATTTAAACTTTGAGAAAATTAAACATTAAAAAAATCTGAGCTTAAAATTCTGCAACCAGTAAAATGAGGGATTAAGACTATATGATCTAGAGTTCTAAAATTATCTAATACTCCTCAAAATAACTATTAGCAGAAATAGTTATAATTATGTTATTAATGTATTAAAACTTTACTTTCTAATTTCTGTATCCAATTAAAATATTTAAATAAGGTAAATACTGAGCATCTTTAGAGACACTACAAAAAAAGATGTAGTTCACGTTACATTTGCAAAATAACCCTCAATCTATTGACTTATAATAATAAATTGGTTTAAATTCCAAGAATACATACAACTGTATCATAAGAGTATCATGCTCTGATAAATGTACTAATGAAGCAACCTCTCCAAATTTTTCTATCCAGTGTATCGCAATTTTTTGTTTAAAAATGTAACTCAATCAGTACATTCTATAGAAAAATCTTCATACCTGTTCCCTTCCTATCTTTTAACATTTATACATTTGAGAAAATCTCTACCATTTGACAATTAAATTTATCCTTTTTTTCTTTATTTCAAAGGTAAGTTCAATTTTCTCTTTCTTGAAAAATAAAATGGGATGTGTGCTTATAACTTAAAATTTTCTAGGAAAAAATACAAAATCAGTTTCATGCTATTAGATGGTAAACTGTTAAAAACAATCACAAAAATATTAAATATATATATTAGTAACTGACAAAACCTTCAGAAAGACATGGAAATAAATATGCCTTTGAGTCTTAATTTTGCTTTAGTAAGATTATATGTTAAAATGCAGCTCCCTTCTCAGTATAAGAGAACAACTAAAGACAAATTTTACCAAAATATATTTTGAGATAAAAATTCAACAATTTTCATAAGCTGCCTTAAAAACAACTCAACAGTTTAATAACTTTGTCCTGGTATTAGCTATATTAATAAAGACCAAAATGATGTTCTGATTGGAATCTATACATTTAATAAATACATTAGCAGCTAATTTAACATGGAACTCAACTTTCTCATCCAAGAATACTTTATCAAGGCTAGAAGGAAAAAGCAAAATGAAGTGAATAGTTTTACTTGTCTCTCTATCCCTCCACACCCTCTGGTGGAAGTGCCAAAACAGTAAAATTATCAAGAGAGAAAGAAGGCGACAGTTAACATGAGAAATATCACACAGAAAAGCAGTTCCTGACTAGCTGAAAGATAGCTTTAGTTTTCTCTTTTGGTATCAGCTCTCTAGTTTTTTGCACAGAAAATTGTCTATTTTTAAAATTTTATAAATGCATTTGAAAGAAATATCACAGTGGAATGAAATAAAATGAACTATTTCTCTTTTTAAAAAGAGATGAATCGGTAACAATGTTCAATTTTTAAAATTCTGATGTCTGAGAAATGTTAATCTACATCTTATAGAATAGAAGTAATTCTAAACCAAAATACTTGGAGGAAAAAAAACTATCATAAACAAAACTCCTTAGGAGTTCTACTGTTAACTTTCAATCAGTTAGTGGAGGTGACAATTATACAAAAAACAAAAAATAAAAAAGACCCAAAGAGCTCTTAAGATACTTTTTGTCATTTAAATTTTAAAATAGAGCATTTCAAGTGATGTGCGAAGCCATTTTTAATTGGCTAGTCTACAGATATTGTGCCTAAGTTAGCCTAATTAGTGTGTGAGTGGGAAAAGTTTCATACTGATGCAAAATCCACAAATGATGGACTAAAGCAGGAAACAAGACTACAATTGTATTTAGTTGTTATGGAAACTATTCTACTGGTGTAGAAATATATGTGTTAAAAGCGTTAAAATCTAGGAAGCCAATAAAAGATTTCTAACACATTAATTTCATGAAATACGATTGAGTTAGTAATTGTGAGGTTTATTTCACTGCTAATAAATTTATCTTCAATTTTGCATATAATATCCATCCTGGAAGAGCTGTTGTTATAGTAACAAGACATATTTGCTCATATATTCATATTTTATGGTTTACTTTATGGAATTCCTTAAAAATCGTGATTTTAAAATTATATTCACAAGAGAACTTTTGCTTGTGTCTTTAATACAATAGTACAAAACACAAACTACAGTGGTGGTCCTCCTTCCTATTTAAAATGATGTACTTTTCAATTTTTGGTAATCTGAAAATATGTTAAACAATATACTGTACAATTTGTATCCTATGAGAACAAACTGAAAGCAATGCTTCCAGAATTATCAAATCTAAAATCATGAGAGCCATGACAGAATCGATTATTACACTGAATATTACCTTGTATATTCTGAGACCTTGCATGGTTTCTTTCCCAAAGAAAAGGAGCGGACCTCAGAACCATGGTCCAACTTTCTTTTCATCTATAAGGTAAAGCAAATAAGATATGTTTAAATAAAAAAACACCTGTTCAACTATTAAATCCTGAGTTAGCATTGTAGTATTTTTTTTAATTCTTGAATTTTCATGTGCCTATAATGGTAATCAATCTAGAAAAGAATTGTTTCATAGTTTCTTCTATTTATTTTACTTTGTTTTAACCAATTGAAAAGGTAAATTTATCCTCTAAAATATTTTGTTCATATAGTGTATAGTGATGGAAAAATCAACATTAACTACATATGTTCCATGAGAGTAATATACCTTTTTATGTTTTCCATTTTAATAGCCAGCATAAGGAAAGAAAATCTCGTGTTAATTTATACAGAAAAAACCATAATTAACATGCCTTCTCACAAATCTTCATTTTTCTTCAAAAATACATTTTAAGAAAGGTAAAAAACAAAATATGAGAAATAAGAATGGAAGTAACTAACTGAATTCTGAATACCAGTATCAATCACTATAAAAGAGTAAAGAGGGCAATGTAAATAAAATAATCTTGGACATCGATTATAGTTAACCACAAAGTAGTTAATAAAGGCAATACAGATAGTAAAAAGTAATCCACAGTGAGAGAGAGATCTGGGAACAGCATGATAAAGCTGAAGGAAAAAAGTCATCAATTGCTATGTACACATATAGCACTGTTCTACTGACAGACACTCCGGACAAAATATTCTAACTTGAAACAACAGAAAACATTTTAAGAGAATGAATTATGCCTCTTTATAAGATATAGCAAACATTTCCATTTGTAGGTATTTTATTATGCCATGTTATACTATAAATGTATTCAGAAAAGCAATTTTGTCAATACCAATATTGAAAGATTTATTTTTATATTTCATTATCAACTAACTGATATAATTTTACTATATTTAAAACTAGAAAATAAGAATTGACAAGACTCAGCTTTTTCTATTTCAACAATATTTTTCAGATTTGCATCCAGAAATTAATTACTGTATTGCTGCAAGTTATGGGGGGGGCAAGTAATAAATAGCTATCCTCAATTTTCTAGTAAGGTGAAAACCCTGATTTTACAGCAGCCTATTTTCCTACCCATTGCTTCACATGGGAACACCATAACACAGCATGATACGACCTAAAGTATTAAAGAGATCTGACAAGAGACTCAAAATCTTTTTGAGCCACATTAAAAACTTGGTTTTTACCATTATGAAGAAAGTCTTCTACCTAACACAGGATGCTCTTACATTAGGGGAGAGAGGTGAGGGTACAACAAGCTCATCCACAATTTATACCTCAGTTCATAAAACAGCTACTGGAAAAAAATGGAATCAGTCTGATTTCTTTCCTTCAGAAGTTTCTGTTCTGTACTAATCATTACATTATTTCAAAGTGATCCCTCTCAAAAACCATTAATTTCATTCTCTACATAATTTTATTAAAAGCCAAACATAAAAGTATTATAAAAGCTGTAATATATAGGTAGCCACGTGATTCCACGTGTATAATTTATAACATACAGATCTGCAAATGAATCCCATCATGAAAGTCAGTCAGCAGAGATGATCTTACAATCAAGTTTTAGGATAACTTTGGTGGATTATTTTTATAATTATTATGAGAAACTTCGATATTCATTCCGATTAAGTTGGTAATCAGAACTTCCCAAGATATCTTCTAAATACATTGCTGCAAATGCCATTTGTCATTAAAAGAAAACTTTATTTCCATCTTAGAAATTCCTTCAATGAATAAATATGCCCAAAATATACATTATGAAAAACACTGAGGACTTTATTTTTAATTATTTTATAAAATAAAGCATCTTCTGAAGTCTTTTAAATATTGTACCGTTTACTAAAGATACTGACTTTAGAACCAATAATGAATCCTGCAATTTTTTTGAGGGGCACAGAAAGTAAACATAATTTCTTTAAATATAAATCCCCAAATTCTAGTGACTCTGTACTTTAAGAGCCAACTAATGAAAAAAAGAAAAACAAATGTAAGGCATAGAAAAAATGAAGGCAAAATGCTTCACTGAGAGCCAACTAAGGATAGAGTATTTCCAGTTCAGCATTTAACGGAGCCACATTTCTAAAGTCTGAACATATTTTTAGTGAAAAATTCTGATTAAAATATACATTTTATTTTCAATTTAAAGCTTTCCCCAGCTCACGTTGTCTCTCCATTATTTGCTTACATTCATGAAATAAAACAGAATACCAGACATCCAGCCACCCACCAAAATTAGAGGATACTGCAGCCATCTCTGATGATACCGATTTTCCTTCCCAGGCAGGCACACACACAATCACACAGCACAGGAAGAAAACAGATTACTTACTTTGTAAAAAATCATTTTTAATGTGCCGTAGAAACCCATATTTTCTGTATTTTTCCCCTTCAGTGATTCTGTGCCCCCGTGTGTCCGGCTGCTTGGCAGTCTCTGACAATATAAACCTTTTTCAGGTAGGTATGTCACAGATTCTAATGTGGACATGCTCAGGCACGTCAGAAAAGGAAGATTAGGGAGCAGAACCGGCAACAAAACTCCACAGCAAAGGCAAATGCAGCTCAGTAGCAAACCGCTTCTTGGGACACACATGCATACATGCAGCTTGACTGAGAAGAACTCGAGGGAATAATGAGAGAGAACCGGGAAGATTATTGGAGGAGACTCTGCCCTGTCAAAGCCTTGACTGAACAGATTCCTCCCTCAGCAGCAGAGGGATCAGATTACATCTTCCCTTGAACACAGAATGGTGCAGTCCAGGATTCGGCAATGCAGACTGCACATCAATTATATGGTGATCCGCTCCAGGGCACCCCCCCCCCCGTAAGCACACAGCGCACTGAACAGAGGGAGACGTGGGCAGCGGGGACCGCCCCCACACGGCAGCCCCTCTCCCCCTTCCAAACTTTCAGGAGATTATTTTTGTATTCTGTGAAACCGGCATTTTTGTGCAGTTTTAAATAGCAAGCAGCATTTCCACGAATAAGTCCTTCCGGAAACATTCTGAAAATGAAATACATTTTCCTGCAGCCCCCGCCCCAAACAGAAAGTGTCACCCCACCGGAGTCTTGGCACAGGCCCATAAGATTTTTCAAGTAGCTTGGGTGGTATAACACGGGCAATCCCAATGGGGAGAGATTATATATTCTTTGGGGAAACTGACAAAAAAGTGAACCAGTCTGGAGCATACAGCATTTGCAGACTCTACGTAATATATAGTTCAAACTGCATGCCTCATACTAAGATTTGATGAAAATACTCCCTATTCCATTTTATTCTTTAAAAATATAGTTTTCAGAAAAATTACCACAAACTTCATTAATTCTTAGTTATCACAGGACTATCCTTTTACCACCTAAATGTAAAAAGTTGGTCTGAAAGGCGCTCTCCTCTAAAGGGAACAAAAGCGAGTTTCACCCTTGTTTGTTAATTTAATCCTGAGTGGAGAGGAGACTCTGGACTTGGACTTCCAAAGTTACTCTGACAAGGTATATTACTTATCCTGACAAAGGCATTTTATATAACAGCAAAGGTAACAGAGTTTGCCTGATGGCAACATTTTTCTTAGGATAAGTATTTACAAATCTAGATATTACATCTTCAACTTGCTTTGAAGGCAATTATAAGATTCCTTGGACTACTACAAAGGTCCATTATTAAAGGTCAAGTTAATTAACTCCTACCCTCCCTATTAATGTTCTTTATTACAAGTAAACTGTGAGGCTGTAGTTATTTAAGGTATTTAAAAGTTTCCTTAGAAAAAGAAATACTGTGTGGACTTTCCACATCTTAAAACTCTTTGCTATGGTGGCGTATAGCTTTCTTTAGTAAAATGATTTCAAATACTGCATAAAGTAGTATCACACTTTAAAACATGTTTACCTTTATAACTAAGACATTAAGCTATTGTACCTTTTACTTTAAAATATAAATGAAAATAAGATAATGTAAAACTTCATGAAGATGTACATCCTGGATCTTCTCCTGGAAATCATACTCTATCTTTTTAAAACCCTATTAACTCTTAAATTCTTTCCTCAGAAACAATATATATTGTACTCAGCAAAAGTGAGCTTTGCTAAATAATCAGTTAGCTCACTTTAAAGCTAACTTCTTTTTAAACTGAAATCTCTTCGTTTCACTGAAAAAAATCGTCAAGTACAATGTAAAACCCTTTATGAGACATTCTGGAATATCCATGGTTTAGGAAAAAACTAAAGAAAAAAAGGATGCCTTTTCTCCCTGGGTTACCTGAAGAAAACAACTGTAATAAAACATCTGAAATTTCCTCTAGAATTTATCAGTGGCAACTAGCTTGACAAAAGACCAGTGGTACACTAGTGATTTAATAGTATATACTTTGGCTTCAACAGAAATCATGTCCTATCTACTCAGAACACAGAGCAACTTCAATGAAGCCTCAAAACTTAGGGTGTTTAAAGAAAAAATATTTCTTGGTTTTGTATATTCAAAGGAATGTTCCTGTGGTTATCTTACTTACGGCTATAGAGTTACCCAAAAACCTGTTCCCCACAAATGTTTACACACAGGCGTGTATTTTCAGGGTTTACTTTTAAACAGGTAAGCTATTTACATGTGTCAAAAATCAAAATCATGTACAAAAAACAGACTGAGAAAGTCTTTGTACTATCACATTATCCTCTGTCTACCATGGTCTCCACTTGGGAATGATTTTTATTAACCTGTTGGTTTCTTAAGTGGGAAATGCTTATAATTTCTATTAGTAAAGACCTTATTTTTCCAAGTATTTCAACAATTCTCCCTCATATCTTGTTTACTATATTAATTTAACTGTAAATTAAGAATTTACCAAGCAAAGCTAGTCAAGCTAGCCTCTAATTGGATTTCAAAGTAATAGAGTAAAAATAAAAATAATTATTTTCAGCACTGAGATACTATCAATGAAAATTGCAATCTATTGTATTACTGCCATTAGAATATATAAATGAACACTGTAAAAGAAATGATTCTCAC